GATGAGGAAAAAATTAGGCATGAGCTCTATCCACAAGGAGCAAAAAAATGAATGACTCTAACGAATAAACAGAAATGTAAGATGAAGCACTAATCTTTCAGGCACTTTTAATATTGATAGGAGGACAAATTATCCATATAAAAAGATGTAAATAAATATAAAGTTGGGTAGATAATTCTGTTGGTCCTCGATAGACAGTATTTGTATATAATCATCAGAATTTAGTCTTTAACAAATCTTGTATCTTTATTTTCTATTATTTACATGTAAATGGATATTGCTCATTGACAACAGATGAAAAACCAATGTTTACTAAAGAAGTGATAAATTATATAAAATATAATGTGATTGAAAGTGAAAACTGGACGCCCCCTCCGCAACATCTGGGTGTGTGTGATACTAGATGCATTATTTCCGTAGAGACAAATCCCTGGCTCACGGTGACATAGTACGGCAGGCCGGAAGGCTGGAGCCCTCGGATTTAGTGTGGCCTCTTTTGCTAACTGACATGATAATTTGGGGACAAATAACTTAGATTCTGAGCCTTATTTTGTCTACAAAGGTGTACTAAAACTAACCTTAATTTAAAATTATCCAAAAATATAAGAACACCAAAGAAAAACGCATTCTGGCAGCTCATCCTCTCTACAGGCTAGGTAAACTGTACCATCTCCACCCGGAGGAGAGAAACGATCAAAATCAAAATGCTTATCTACCGCCCTCTCCACACGTGGTCTTAGTTAAAATAAGGGTATACACTTCATTACTGCGCACCTGGATTTTGTCCCATGCTCCTAAGAAATGCACGTAGGTGGGGTCTCGACCAGCTTTTCTCTTGATGATGTAGAAGCCGTTGCAGGCACAGCCAAATCACATTCCTGAAAGGAACAGGTTATAAAATTCACTCTCGACCCCCGGTTATCGAATGTCTACTGTGTGCCAGACACACTGTTAGACCTGGGGAATCAGAGAAACGTCGCTCTCTGACATCTCACAGTCCAGCGGACTAACACATGGACCGAAATGTTAGAAGACGCCGTGCGAGTGTTTCACTGGGGGTGCCAGTGAAGAGCCATGGCAGAAACCCGGGAGCAACGATACCTGTCCTGGGGGCCTGGGGAGATCGCGGCAGGGGTGATATTTGAGCTGGGTCTGGAAGGGTGAGCAGAAATCCGCCAGGTGAAGCAGGGGCAGGACAATTATGGGCAGAGGGAACAGCGTGGCTCATCCAGGTGCCCGGCACGTCCGAGAAATGGTGCAAAGGGCAGTGCAGGCCCAGCTTTTGTGGGCGAGAGGGAGAGGGAGATGGAGGGCGGTTATGTTGGGGCCAGCACATGGGGAGCCTTGTCGGGCCACACGCAGTTGGTAATCGCCCCTGCTGGCCATGGGGCCACAGAGCATCATGCGCAGAGGTACGTGCCCACTGTGTTGTGTTTTGAAGATAACTTGAAGTCGTAGGGAGGGAATGATGTGGGGGCAGAGCAAGGAGAAACAGGTCAGGGAGAACAGACAGGAGGTGGCAGTGGGAATGGCTGACTCGGGGGAGCATCTCTGAAAGAGAATAGGTAACGTTTGGTAATTGTGGAGGCTGTGGCAGAGGGCGAAAGAAACAGAGTATGGCTTTGAAGGTGCTCAGTACAGGAGGGATTGGAAGGGGTTAATTACTATTAACCAAGATGAGAGGACGCAGGGGGACAGGGGGGGTTCTCTACTCCAGTGCACCCCTGACTAAACAGTAACCCTTAACTTTGGCACAGGTGCTCGATGACCAAACATGACAGGCTCTCGGTGGCTGAGATAGTGGATGAAGCCTACGCCAACATGACACCACTGACCTCTTAATCTCCATGCTTTTGGTTCAAGGCATCATTCAGTTCAACACCATTTAATAGCTATTATCTAGAAATGTCTGATCTACTGCAAATCTCTCTTTGGTTACACCGGCTGTCATTCCAGTCATACGTAGGAGAAGGGTGGGAACTGTGGAGCCACACTGCCCGGGCCAGTGACCTCAGGCAAGTCACTCACATCTTTCCGTGCCTCAGTTTCCTCATCTGCAAAATAAGGATAAAAGTTCTTCGAAAGGTTGTTTGTAGGGATGAAATGAGTTAGCATATGTCAAAGGCGACCTGGCATATGGTCCAAGCACCTTAAGCACCTCAGAAGTGTTTGCTGTCGTTATTAAGAAGTAACGGAACACTCAACTAAAAGTGGTACAAATATAGAGATTTATTAGCACAGAACAAGATCGAAGTGGGCAGTTCCGGGGCTGGCCCTGCTGCTTAACCAAGGCATCCAGGACCAGTCTGTTCCCTGTCCCATGCCACGCTCAGTGTGTTAGTGATTTCTCCCCTCCTGGTGGCAGGGAGGTTTTGGCAGCTCCAAGAGTCATGTCCCCCCGTGTCCAGCATCCCAACGTGGGGGAAAGGGGTGGGGGCAGAGAGGGCTTCGCTCCCGTGCAGCCCCATCTCAACAGGCAGGACAATCTTTCCCAGAGGGCCCCAGTAGGTTTCCTTTCAGCTAAAACTGGGTCGCAAGCCCGTCCCTGAATCTGGCACTTCCACTCCGTAACAAATGAGGCAAAAGTGGGATGGGGCTGGCTGCCGGACGGACGGAACACTGGTGGTGCCCACCGCAGTCTGGCAGCCAAAGAGTTCCGAGGGTGCCTTGCTCAGGCCCGGCGTAATTGAGACGCATCTGGAGTGAATAAGCCACAGGCTTCATCCTTCAGAAGTCATTAGGATTTTTTTTTTTTTTTTGAGACACAGTCTCACTCTGTTGCCCGGGCTAGAGTGCCGTGGCATCAGCCTAGCTCACAGCAACCTCAAACTCCTGGGCTCAAGCGATCCTCTTGCCTCAGCCTCCTGGGTAGCCAGGACTATAGGCACGTGCTACCGTGCCTGGCTAATTTTTTCTAGTTTTAGTTGTTTGGCTAATTTCTTTCTATTTATAGTAGAGACGGGTCTCGCTCCTTCTCAGGCTGGTCTCGAACCCTGAGCTCAAGCAATCCTCCCACCTCGGGCCTCCCAGAGAGCTAGGATTACAGGTGTGAGCCACCCCCGCCCAACCCATCATTAGGCTTTTTAAGAGTAGCTTTGAACCCAGATAAGTATCTTTTGGTAAACTATGGGGAAGGGATTATTTTGGAGCCCGAGGTTTCCCAGTCTTCTCACCTGTTCCAAGTGCCACCTTCCCACAAACCAAAGGAAGGGACTCAGCTTATCTGAAAGGTCATCTACAAGACAGGAGACACAGCCAGCCCTCCCCGCTGGAGGCTGGTCCAACGAGGACACAAAGGACACAGCTGCCTGAGGCGGGCTGCTCTTTCCACCTTAGAACCGACACCCCACAGCCTCACTCCTCTGGGGCTCCGTTGTGGCAACAAAAGACGCAGCCCGGTGCAGAGACTTGAGAGGAGAACGGGGACGTAGCTTGTATAAACAGCCACAGAAAGCCTTGCTTCCACTCTCCAATCCATTAACAAAGAAAGGAGAAATTTTTAAATTCCGAGGCCGCTTGGTCACTAATCTGATTCTAGCCTACGTGTGGATATTCAATAAATACTTGTTAAATTAAATTGACTCAAGGTTTATTTATTCACCTACTTAAAGCTTATGTAAACCCTCGGAGATTTGTGTCAAGCTGTTAAGTTGGAAAATATATGAAAAGTGAGTATTTTCAATGTACCAGCTTTCCTCTTAATGTGCTTTATGAGCTTAGTGTAAACCAGGAGGCAAGAGGGAAGAGTACCAGGGAGGGGGATGGGAGAGGAGGTGAGGAGATGAGGAGGAGGAGGAGAGGAGGAGAAGGCGGAGGGAGAGTAGAGGAGAAGGGAGGAGAGTAGGTGAGGGGGAGGGAGGTGAGGGGGAGGGGGAGAAAAACCTGTTTCTGGAATTTCCTACATTTGTCTTCGTTGCTAAACTTATCAACCAGCTACTGCCCTCTAGTGCCCACTGCATAAAGTTCGCATCTGAATTCCATTATTTATCTTTAAAAACTGTGATGGAAGGAACCACACTTCTTGTTTGCAGATAAGCGAACTGAGGTCCAGAGAGGTGAGGCGTGAACTGACCCGGGTAGACTTCTGGACTCTTCGTTACCCTGCCGGTAACGTTGTCTGGAAACTGTCTGTTACTTCCAAAACCTGTCTCAGAAAATTTCAATAACTAACCAATAAAAATTATAGCGTACTCATCTAAGTGCTGTATGTCACTTCCAATGGTTATCCCAAATAAAGCTAAAACTGACTGCTGTTCAAGTTTAGATAAGGATGTATAAGGACTATTGATGCGTTTTTAACTTAGTACAAGTTTAGAAAATGTCTATAATGTTTAAAAACTAAAATTTAACTAGAACAGCACCAAAGTGCATTGGCCATTTATCAGAACTGACTTTACCACCGTGTCCCATGTAGCCTAATATTTCTGCTAGAATTCTCCCAAAGGAACCTCTTCGCTCACTGATGGGAAAAGGAGGGGGGCTGTCATTTTAACTTGAACACATATTTTCATCATTTAATCATTTTGCTGGTGGAATAAATTGAAAGTTGTCCAGCTGAATGAGACACTTTCAAGAACGAGTTTACTGCGTAACAAGAAGAATTTATTCAAATCATTAATTGGAAGAAAATACATCTGGAATAAGTTTTATTGGAATTCATATAAAAAGAAAAAGGGAATCCATTAGAACTAATATCATAAACAGTTGATTTTACATGGAACCAAAAATATTAAAGAATTGGAACCTAGATGTCCTAGCCTTTTTCCCTTGCATAAAGACAGTCAAATTTTCAGATTTATATGGCAATTACACTTCATGACTTTAGTAGAGCTTTGTTTTCAGCTAATATTTTAGGGACAGATCATCTAAATTGCCTAATTTGGTTCCTTTCCCTTGGCCTCAAAACACAAACACAGAGAAAATGGAAGGGGGCATGTTTGTTTTCAAAATACGACCTCCTGCTACGATTAGCAAATCAACAGAAACTCACTGCACTTGGCTTCCATCACAGTTACTAAATGAATCAAGAGACATTCAGTTCCACCCTTAGAGGTCAACATAGATCCCATTGATCAAATAATCGAGTCTCGAGTAACGTTTCCTGCGGAGGGATTCCGAGAGCATTCTGCCCAAGAGGACAAGACCTATCACCAGGAACAGAACACCGAAGGCCAGGGTGCCAATGAGAAGCCACTTTTCGAATGGAAGCTCGTGCTGGTTTTGGGCGACACTGCTCGGTGAGGAACTGCCGGCGCCGGCCTTCCCGCTTTCCCAGGAAGCAGTGTGATCCGCAGCAGAAGACTCCACACCGGACAGGGAAAGTGTGGCAGGGTTATGCGCGCCCCCTGTGCTCGAGGTCAGGTTGGAGATCTCTGTAAAGGGCACCGCTCGTGGGGTGCCTCTCGAGTCCGTCGGTGCCTGAGAGATGGTAGTCGGAACTGCAGTGGTAGCCATCGCTCGAGGTGTAACCGCAGCCAGAGTAAAAATTGTCGCGTTGAGAGCCAAGGGACCCTGAGCAGTGACGGCGGTCACAGGGGGAGCTGTGGTGGCCAGTGGAGGCTGAGAAGGCCCCGAAGGTATCACTGAAGCGCTGGCGGGTGCGAGAGCTGCCGGCTTCGGCGGAGCCGAGGTGGTGTGTGGAGAAACGACGGCCGCTGTAGTTGGGGACACGGTCACATTTTCAGACAGCCAATGAGCTATTTCTTTTTCTGAGGAAAACTGCGAACTCCGAGAATTCGGGTTTTCTTTATGAACAGGGACCTGGGTACTTGCTTGGTCAATCTTGAATGCTTTCTCCAAGTGATCTGAGGGTCCAAACGTCTGAGGAAAAGCATCTCGGCGAGAGTCGTCAGCGGGTCTTGAAGGCGGTAGGGGAGTGACGGCTTGTGGAGGCTGGCCGCGCCAGGGAGACCCTTCCTGGGCTAACTCTTGGCTTGGCGAGTCAGTTCTGGTCAAAGGTGGAATATCTAGAAAAGTACAGAAAATGAAAGAAAGACTTAACTCATTCCATGCTAAGGTAGGTTAAAAAATACAAACCTGTCGCGTTGTTCAATAGGTCCCCAAACTGTTGCTACTTGATATTTCGCCGAAACGTGTACAAAATGGAAAAATACAATTTGCTAAGTGAGAATCTAACGGCATCGCCTCTCCACCAGATGCTGTGGTTTATTTCTAGCGGACGGGCAGAAGAGACGTGCGTGGAGGAGGATCAGACAGATTCAGGAAAAGGTGGGAGTTGCACAGCGGCGAGGCTGAGTTTCGGGGAGATGGGGAGGGTTGAGGGGCCCAGGCCAGGGCAGACGGCGGGCTGAGCGCGGGGCGTGGGCAGGGGAGGACGGGCGGCTGAACCTGGGTGTGAGGCGTGAGCCCCTGTAGGACATGTCAACTGAGACTGAGGTGACAACCGGGAATGTGAGCAGTCACGGGAGAGATTTCACAGCCGGGGCATGCGGCAGGCAAGAAGGGTGTGTGGCGGCCGTGGGAAGCGGCAGTGGAGTCGGGGGTGGGGGGCCAGAGTCCCTGTGATGCGCTGCTGACAGGGAGGCGGCAGGAGGACACTTTGCAACCAAACACACGGATGTATTATTGCAGCGCTGCGCCAGAGCCGGCGGAGGCTATGTGGGAGATTTCATTTTCACTCTCAAAGGTTAGAATTTTAGAGCCAGTGTCTTAGGTTATGAGGACGATGGGACCAATATTTGAAATCACCAGGCCACGATGCAGACATAAAGAGCAGAAAACCACACAGTCCCGAGTCCTGCTGGCGAGGCACCAGCCTCAGATCCTGCTCCTGCTTGAGAAAGCTTCAAATTTTGCTCTTAGTCACACACACCCCTTATTACAGCAGCTCAAACCAGAAAGGCTTGTTCAAGCAGTCAAGGGCAGGGAACGATCACCTGATTTGCTCCATGATCACCTGATTTGCTCCATGATACTCCGCTGCTGCTCGGGTTGGCTAACCCTTCGCTCAGACTGGAACTGCAGAAAACACGGGGAAAGCAGCAGAGGAATGCCCTAGCATTTATCGCTTCCCTCTCTGGCCCCTTGTCCCTTTTCTGCCCCAGCTTGCCTGCATGCCAGTTGCCAAACTAGACCTCACTCTCCTCTCTCCCAACAAGCAGATCCAGAGGCAACTTGGATTTGTGACATCTTGTGACTACTCTCTAAGCCTCACACCTCTTAAGAGGTCCCTTAGAACAGTCACTGACTAATCCATTCAAGACAGGGGTCAGCAAACTATGGCCTGATGGAAAGATCTGGCCGGCCGCCTGTCCTTGCAAGGCTTGCAAGCTGAGAATGGTTTCTACATTTTTAAATGGGTGAAAAAAAATATATATCAAAAGAAGAATACCATTTTGTGACACATGAAAAGTATATGAAAGTCAAATTTCTGTGTCCGTAAATAAGGTTTTATCAGCACACAGCCATGCTCATTTGTTTGCATAGTGTCCACAGCTGGTTTCATACTACAAGGACAGAGGTGAGCAGGTACGAGGGATTGTGTATGGCCCACAAAGCCTAAAATATTGGCTGGAAAAGCCTAAGATATCATTTGGCACTTGAAAGAAGAAGTTGGCAGACACCTGCTCAAGGATATAATATTCTACTCTTAACACAGAATTTGGATGCCCAGAGTTCCTTTTTCCTCCCATTATGCCTAAGGACAGAGTTTTTAATACAGGTACTATCACATTCATAGCATCACCATGACATAAACAGCACTTATATTTTTAGGCAGGATCAGATATTTTAAGAAACAAAACTCCATATATCTCATTTTAAAGGTTAAAAAAAAAAAAGACTAATTAAACGCTCCATGACGTGGGTGAAATCAGAACTCAAACACAGCCATTGATAAGAACGACCAAAACGGCTGTTTTCTTTCTCAAGCCCATAAATAAAACAGAGCTAGGGCTGGTCCCATGTCTTGATAAGATTCCTCTACTGGCAAAGGTCCCAGAACCACACATGGGTCCTCACACCTGCTCCGGTTACACACCCACTGAGGTTTGCAGTGGGGGCGTGGTGCTTTCCCTGGGTCACGCAGAGCGGCCACAAAGGGAGCAAGAAAACAGCCCTGTGCCCTCAACTCCTCTTTTGAGGTCCTTTCAAGCAACTTCATTGAGTCGAAAAATGAGGGACTGACTACTACTTGGATCCCAGCTAAGCAAAAGACTCCCAATTTATTCTTTCTGAATTCTCCTTCCAGTCTTTAGTAAAAATGACATACCATAAAGCTGCAAAAAATAAATAAATTTAAAAAATTAAATAATGCCAAGTTACAATGGCTTTATAGAATGAACAGAGTCCACTGTCGTCTTTCAACTTTCGGTGTGTAAATATTAGTCAACGGGTTATAGGAAATAGAGTTCCTCTGGAAACAAGCCACTAGACATCTATATTTAATTTCACTTCAAACAGGAAGCAGATAATTAGTTTTTAATAGGGTAATCTCAATCCATCAACATGGGCGGATTCACAGAGAGAACTGCAAACACAACTCGTGCATATCCTGTAGATGTAAACAGCTCTGTGCCTATTGTGTCCAGGGCTGGTGCCACGTTGCGCTGAGACGGTTATCAACCTGCTATGGGCCGATGGCGCCCCCTGGTGGCTTCCACACGAACTGTTTTTTTTTATTCTAACTCCATTCCCTTCCTGCTTGAAAGATTTATATACTCATGCCAAGCTCCCTTGCCTCCCATTTCCATTGGTGACGATCTTTACCACATACTTCCTCTTTCATACATACATTATAAAACCAACAACACCAAAAAAAAAGTATCAGAAAAATTAGAAGACAAATTCAGCTATAATTTCTATCATCACATCCCACCAACAGATTTACACAAATAATCTGTGTTACATGTTCCTTTTTAAGGAGGTGTTTGATGCATCAGGTTTCCCTGGTTCATGAACAAAACTCAGACACAGCCTCCCCCAGGGGACAGAGCAGTGTCAGCACTCAAGCGCCCTGGGCAGTGTCATCCCCCAAATATACCTCACTATACAGTATAGAGAGAAGCCATCATTCCACTTCTCCTCCCAACCCTAAAACTGCTTCTCCTCAAATTATCCCCAACCAGTAAATGGTTCCACCATCCATCTAGACGCTCACGTCAAAAACTAGGATTTGTGATTTCAGTGGATCTGAAAAAGAATAAATAAATAAATAAAAAACTAGGATTTGGGCCAGGCATGTTGGCTCACACCTGTAATCTTAGCACCTGGGAAGGTGAAGCAGGAAGACTGCTCGAGGACAGGAGTTCAAAACCAGCCTGGGCAACATAGCGAGACCCCATCTCTACAAAAAATAAATAAAAAATGAGTCAGGCATGAGGACGCATGCCTGTAGTCCCAGATATTCAGGAGGCTGAGGCAGGAGGATTGCTTGAGCCCAGGAGTTCCAGGCTGCAGTGAGCTGTGATGACACCACGGCACTCCAGCCTGGGCAACAGAGTGAGACCTTGCCTCAAAAGCAAACAAACAACAACAACAAAAAAAAACAACCTAGGACTCAACCTCAACATTTGTCTTTTCCTGGTCCTCCATATCCACGCCACCAGCAAGTCCTGTCAACTCTACCTCTGGAATGGCCCATACTCCATCCCTCTCTCCATCTCCTCTACCACCTCCCTGGTCTCTCAGGTGGGTCCCTACCCCCTGTAACCAGTCTTTCCATTTCCCCTTTGCTGCTGTGACACTGTCCATTCCCAAGAGGCCAGTCACAGTGAGCTTTGAGAAATCACCTTCAAAATACCACGTAACATGCCTGCTTCAAAGCTTCTAACAGCTTCCCACCACGCACCTAAAATAAAAACTCCCTCCTGTGGCTTACAAAGCTGTATGTTATCCGGCTCTCCTGGCCTTTTTGCACATCACTCTGCATTTTCTGATGGGATGCACCTATGACTATATTTTTCTTGATCTTTATTTATTATAGTTATTGTCTCTCTCCCCTAAAACATAAGTTCCAGAAGTAAGACCTTGTTTTTCATGTTTAACGTTGCATCCTTAAGGTGTAAAAAGTGCTTGGCACATAGAAGATTCTAAATAATATTTATTTACTGAATAAATGAACAAATGGAATATTAACAATCAAGGGTAGAATTGAAAAAAAAACTTTCTAGGGCCCGGCTCGGTGGCTCACGCCTGTAATCCTAGCTCTCTGGGAAGCCGAGGCGGGTGGATCGCTCAAGGTCAGGAGTTTGAAATGAGCCTGAGCAAGAGTGAGACCTGTCTCTACTAAAAAATAGAAAGAAATTAATTGGCCAACTAAATATATATAGAAAAAATTAACCGGGCATGGCGGCACACGCCTGTAGTCCCAGCCACTCAGAAGGCCAAGGCAGGAGGATTGGTTGAGCCCAGGAATTTGAGGTTGCTGTGAGCTAGGCTGATGCCACGGCACTCTAGCCCAGGCAACACAGTGAGACTCTGTTTCAAAAAAAAAAAAAACCTTTCTAAAAGTTAAAGACAATTTGATACTGAAAGCATTTCAACCTGAAATATTAACCAGCCAAAATCTTAGCAAGACTTCATTCAAGTCAATATTAATTTATTTAGCTGTTTATTTTCTGTATTCTGAAATAATAAGTTCTATGGATATGGAGAATGTATTTTTAGTGTTTTGCACAGAATCTGGCATATGTGGATGTTTAGTAAATATTTCTTGCATGAATTTCTTTCCAGGTCTAGACAATAAAATCTAGTGAGTTCGATTTCAGATAATGTGATTATAAGTAATAGGAATTTAATAACAAATACATTAGAATTTTATATATTAACATGGGTCTTAACCCTTTCAAAACAGTCCCCCTGGAGACCAAATACTTATTCAGTTTTGCAGACATTGTTCTAAAGAGGTACTTCAAACATGTTCATGGATCAGGTGTGGTGGTTCACGCCTCTAATCCTAGCACTCTGGAAGGCCAAGGCAGGAGGATCACTTGAGGCCAGGAGTTCC